ATTAGAAACAATAAGCTACTAGTAACAAGTGCATCGCTTCTAGTAACTCAAAGAGCCCATGAGTTCTGGTAGAACACTTGCTTTGTGGAGATTGGTTTGAGTGGCAACACTTGCCAGATGCCTTCGATGTGAGTGGTGGAAGTTTGGGCGGAGCACCCTTGGAGCAACCAAGGACTCAGAGTGAAGCCACTACAAATAAGTATATGTTTACTATCTATATAACTCCATAAAGGGGCAATCACATCGTCCTTTGATACAAATTTCCCACTTGTTCCGTACCAGTACGGGCCCCTGCAGTTAAGTGTGCTTTGTTAACTACTTGTGCAAGCTGTCTTCGAACATGAAGTGAAGAAGCAAACATAATTTTATCATTATATATATGGAGTCCGGCCAAAAGTCTATAATCAAAAAAAAGTAGATAAAGGGGTCGAAAGTAGCTTATGATGTTGTTTTTTTTAATTAGATTATGTAGCGGGCCCCCAGCTAAACACACCTATTCTGCAGCTGGGCGCTAGGTTCGCGGTAGACTTGCGCTAGTGACGGTAGAGTTTGCCTTAGGACATGTTCAGAACGTCGTCAGGTTTTTGAAAAGTGGTTGGCTGAAAAATGCGCTAGCCGCGCACCAGCACCGCGCTAGCAAACATTGCCAGATTCCAGCGTGGACCCTTCCAAGGCTGACTTGCAACATGTCTTTTGTTTCAAGCATGGCTTGGAGCTCGGAGATCAGCTGAAAGGGTGCAGCGCTAGTGACGCCTCTTACAATTTGACGCCAAAACCAGCTGTGCGTGCCAAAAGTAAAGAATATGTAGCGGGCCCCCATTCACACACGACTTTCAGCCATTTTTGGAAGAAGACATTTCGACCAGATCCCATATAAATATGATATATGCACGAACGAAAGGCAATCTCGTCGGCTAGACCGTTCTCGGCATACATCCGCATACTGCGTCCCAAAAAGTCTGTCTCCAAGCAACCTGGAATAGAAGTGAATCCCATAATTTATGGGATTATATACTTTGTCTCCCTACTACAGTGTGCCCATTTGGATTGCTTGATTTTTTGAAATGCATATTCAAGTTTTGTTGTGCAACCTGTTGCGTTGATATAGCTCCAGCATTACATTTGTAGGACATGATATAGGACGGTTGCCGTGGTGAGAGGAAGATGGCCTTCGATGGATGTGGGGTCACTGATGGCTTTTGTGGGACCATTTGTGCAAAAGGCTTGCGCCGCCAGTGCCGCATGGTGCGTCGACAGGTGCTGAAGCTCGAACCAATGGTATGTCTATGTGCCACCCCAACTAGAGTTCTGAAATCCCACAGTGTTTCCGTGTCATACTTTCCACCCGGTTTTGCCAATAGGTGGACAGCCTTTTGGCGGAACTCAAAAACAACACTGCAGAGCAATCCAAACTCCGAGTGAATGCTGTTGGCCTCTCCCGTGGAGGGATCGCATGCTCATATCTTGCACAGGTGCGAAGAGTCTAAAGTCCAAAACGCAAAGAAATGCAGTGTTTCAAAAATTTCAGCATGATCACAGATCAACATGGCTTACTTCTTCCTACTTGGAAGGTACTTAGATGTTCTCTTAGCTGTCCCAAGCAAACAGGAAATGGCTGATATTCCAGCATCGAGCTGTGAGCTTTCATTGCTTTTGTTCGACCCTGTTCCTGGTGACTTGCTAACTGTGGCCCAGCTCGACTTCTTTCGACTTACAAACACCTCGGCATCCGGCGACATGTCCAACTGCGCATGCCTCAGCAGGGTGCTGGCACTGTACCCCTATGAACCGTTGCCTGCGATACTTTGTCATGCTCCCATTTTGTGTCGATACCCTCCGCACTGTGTCCAGGTGGTGGAATGAGACAACATATTTTTGTGGCAACATGTTCTTCCTAAAGCAGAGTTTGAATCTGTTGGTGAGATGTTGCCCTTTTTTCAGCTGGCCCTCCATGCAGCCTCGCCCGAATTGTTTCGCCATCCGAGGCATGGTGGAGGAAGAAGTCACTCTGGGTTGCCATCAAGGAGCCCTACAAATACACGATTTGCGAGGACCAGTGATCGACTTGGCCTCTGCCATGTGTTTCTTGCGCATCAGACGTTGGCTCATGGAGTGTGGGACGCCCTTGGACCACAACCACGTGGATTGCACGGTCAAGGTGCACCACCTGAGCCTGCCGAATCCTTGAATCGATTTCTTCCCCAACATGCACTCGTGCCCCAATTCCAGGCATGCAGCATGACAACGGGGAAGAGATACAGTATATATATAATATATATATATATACTGTACTTATATGCTTCACATTTACATTCAGAATTCAATGTGTAGCACCCATGGTCAGGAGCCTTCGGTGTGTTGTGCAAATTTGAAGTTACCAAGGTGAAGGACTTGGAGGCCTTTTGCCTGCGAAAATGCAATGCTGAAGTGAAGCGGTTGTCTCCTTCCAGCCGCTGCTCTCATACCGCGCTGAGCTGCTGGGGAGCCACCATTGTGCGGCACAAGCCTGATCGAGGTGTCTCTTGCCCATGTTAGGATTCCTAATTATATCCTCTTAAAACCGCTGAATACGGCGCTACCGCTAGATGTGTTCAAACATCAATATGTTGGCCACCTGGTTTCTTTGTTCAAACTATTCATGTCATGTTGTTCCTCGTTCTTTTTGGGAACACCGGCCCCCCAAACCCAAAAGACGCTCACTTGAAGCTGTTGCCAAGGCAGTTGCACTCTTTGGGTTTTACGCCATTCGCCATTGTTTCACAAAACAGCTGGATGTAGACTGACCCAAAGCTGTTGCAAAGATTGAACTGAATAGGCAACGATACTGCCAAAGCCGTCGCACCCCACTTGTTCGCAGCGAAAATCATCCGACCTCAGCACTTGGCAGAGATGGGGCATGGCTGATGTCCAACAAGCAAACCAAAATGCGGATGCGAGGAGCTACAATAGAAATCTTGTGGATACGAGGAGCTGGAGTGCCTCATAGTTTCAGGTTTTTCTAGCGTCTCTTTCTGTTTTGCTGCACGTGTTTTGAAAGCTCAATTTGTTCACCATTTTGATCATCAAAGACCAGTTCGACATATCCCCAAGTATCCCAAAGTACTTTATACCACAGTTATATTCTGTAAATTTCAATAGTTATATAGTCCCATGTTTTCTGTTTGGAACAGCTGTCATATTGACATCAGGTCCAATTCTTGAACGAGCAACATCGGCTCCTGGCCAGTGCGGGCAGCGACGAGAAGTGGCTCTTGGAAATCCGGACGGCCTTTAGGCAACGGAACAGGCCGAATGGGCGAATGGGCATACGGTCACCTGCGAAACGAAAAACCGCAACACGTGATGACACCGGGAAAGTTTGGTACTTGCTGACTTCGCAAGCGTAATTGGGGTCCCATCACATGCAAAGTCTATTTGTCAAGGTGGCAAAGCTACTCTTACAGCTGTGGAGCTGCTAGCACCACTAGGAAACATCCGTGAGATGGTTTTGGCAATATGTCAATGTGAGATGGTGTGAGAAGCAGGCCACCCGCGGTTTTGAGTATTCTCCCTCTAGTCACTACTAGTCCATCACATTGGTTGAAGTTTACAGTATGACAATTCGAACTGTTAAGAGCAGAAGCATAGTAGGAGCACAGCTTGACAACCCCGCTATCAAACTCGCAAGACGTACAAGTAAAGTGTTCACAGACGCCACGAGCTGTGACACTGACTCGTATAGTAGTAGACAACCGAGGACAAAGCTCCATTTCCATCTGGACTTCTTTGCCTGTTGGCGCTTGTGGCAGTTCTGGTGATTTGGCCACTACTGTTTCAGAGCTGACAATGAAGAAAATCGAAAAAAAATCCGGCAACTCAATCTCCTGCTCACACAACTTATGATCAATTAAGTAACTCGTGTTTCTTGATTCTTGAGCAATTGTTTTCCAGGATGTCGCACATCTGGTGCTTTTTATTCAAGAACTCGGCAGTTGAAAAGTACAAGTGAATGCTATATCGTGTCATGATCGGAAGTCAAAGTAATTATGCTTATAATATCGGCTCGAGCAGCATTGCTTCAAATGGTTTACTGTCCTGTTCAGGCCGGCTAGAGAGAGAGAGAGAGGGATTGGACACCTGCATGACGTGCTGATGACACAAGCAAAAGCTCCACCACAGATGTGACTCTGAAGAGGCTTTGGGTAGACACCCCTGGCCAACTCACACTCGCCGGAATAAGACCCCGCCCCTGATGCAATTCTGCATCGCTGCCGGGTCCAAACACATGGTGACGTAGCAATCATAGTTGCTTGCACAATCACCTGGTTTCCTCCAGGCGCAGCACATCGCCAGCGGCTAAGCTTTGACAATCACAAAAGATCAAGGTTGCGGCCTTATGGGCTGGATGCCGCGGTCTAAGGTAAGCCCTGATGCCTTCGCCGCAGGTTTTTAACCAACAGGCGCCCATACGAGGCCGGTCCAAGACCGTCGGATGTAGACATAGAGGTCATAGAGACCGGAGAATCGGTTTGGATTTTGGATGTTTTCCTTGAGATACGTTTCCTCCAAGCTTTCAGCCTTCAACTCGCCTCAGCTCGCCTCAGCTGGCAGGACCACTTCCGAAAGCAGCTCGATGGTCTGTTGGCCCAACGGCTGCGCCCACGGTGCAAGCTGCCGGGCCCACGGGATTTGTTGGCACTTCAGACCATGGAGATGCATGTTTGAACCATCCAGCCCCGTGGCCCAAGGCCTACAAAACTGTTGGATATGCACCGCCTTCCGCCCAAATCAGAAATCTTCCTGGTGTGTATCTTGGCTTGATTTAAGTGCGAACGGCAAGCATGTGAAAATTGCTCGCCACAACGGCTGAGGCAATGGAGCATCCCAGCTTCACAGCCCAACTTGCCAAGCATGTGTGCCACCCAAAGCATGGTGGTGCCAAGCCAGGCTGCTGGCCCCATGGTGCTCACAGCAAATAGAAGCATATTGCGTGGAGTGCCAGCGTGTCCGACATCAATCGTTGCCAAGGGTCAAAGGACAGTGACGCGGATGAGTCCAAGTCCTCTCAGCAATTCCAACATCGCCCCACCTCAGATTGCCCAAAGCCTGCCAGTGGCAGCAAGCATGACAGCTCCATCGCAAGTTCCAGCTGCTGCAAAGTTTGCCACAAGTGCAGTTGCCCTTACCAGCCCCAGCCCCCTGCCACAACCAACATCTGCCTCACTCCGCTTGCCAGTTGGCACCGCTCCACTTGTTGCCACTCCAGTTGTCACTGCACCTGGCGCTGCCCCAGCGCCAACCCCAAGTCCAACCACGAGTCCACCCAATTTGCCCATTGGACCTGGGCTGAATGGAACGAAACCCTTCGGGGTGCCCGCAGTTTCAAGCCTACCCAACATGTCTGACGCCAGCACGTCCGAGAAGGAACTGGGCAACGAGTCACCACCCAAAGCACCGAAAGGAGATCAACCCATCGTCTCATCCAGCCCCCTATCTCACACTTCTCGAGCGAACAACAACTCCATCGGGTTGTCCTCAGGTGGTTTGAGCCCCTCAGCCTCAAGGCATGGCACTGGCACAACACCACAGGCCTCCCAGCATTCACACTCAAGGACTCCAAGCCGCCAGGGGCATGCTCGACAGCCCTCTGCGATCGCTTGGCATCCTTTTGAGAGAATGCTTTTTGAGACGACCGATGGGGTCTACAACCCAACTGAGATGGCACAAAAGAGGCGGGTGCCCATGAACTTCTCTATAGGCACAGGGACAACTGCTGCCACTTGTTTTGATTATTAGTATCCCATTATTTGGGGCGTTTTCTTAGAAGCGACATAGTTGATAACAACTCGATCGCTTCCGTCACCTGCCTCGCTTGCCGTGCGATGTGGGGACCCAGGTCATGTGCGAAATCCCAGGCCGAGTGTCGATTGTTGCACCCTCCATGGCCTCGCGGCAGCACTACCACGAAAATCTGTACCGCTGCTTTGAAGCCCAAGACTACCTTGACAAGGATCTGCGACATGTCAGAAAACCTTGAGTGTGATACGTGACGTTGTGATATTTTGTTGGATCTGTGAGCCACTTGAGTGATGTTTCGTATTTCGTATTGCATCGTATTGCTATGCTAGGTCCTGCTAGGTCATTGTTGTTATACACAGGGGTTGCTGAAGAGCATTGAGCCTTCAGGAGCTGATCGTGGTTGAAACCTATGAGGATAAGCCATCCAGCTACTTACAGAAAGTGGCCAAGGATGATGAGCGAGTGGTGCATGTGGCCATCAAAGTTAGTCCCGGCAAAGATTTCACTGCGCCCTAGCTGCAAGATTTTGCACCACCTGCCTGCCCAGTGTTGGGAGTTGTGGCACACATACTCAAGAAAGAGATTGAAAGAGGTTTGCAACTGCCAAGACGCACAGATGTTGGTTTGCTTCTCAGGTTGGCTTGAAGCGTAATATGACTTTGCATTTGGCCTCCGGCGAGTACATTGTAAACTTTGATGATGATGACCTCTACGCACCTGGCTATGTGCCAAGGGTGGTACAGTTGATGAGAGGTCGAAACCTGGTGGGTTTGACCCTATCAGCATGGTACAACTACTACATAGGCATTCAGACTGCAATGTAATCGCTTTGTGAACTTTTCACGAAAGCTAGCCTTAGCTAGCTGGAGTTGCTCTTGCTTTAGCAAGTTAAGTGACGGGGTGGACGCACCTCAGAAACCTCAAATAATTGATTAAATCAATCTTATGGACCCCCCCCCCGCGGTTCGACTCCCCCCTGCGTGCGGTGAGCGGGACCACCAAGCAGCTGCAGCACACCAAGCATCTGCAGTCTACCACCAAGCAGCTGCAGCAAACCACAAAGGAGCAGCAGCAGCAGAAGCAGCGACCCAGAGCAGCAGCAGCAGCAGCAGACCACCCAGCGCCAGCAGCAGCAGCAGCAGACGACCCGGCGCCAGCAGAGCACCCAGCG